AAGATGTCAGCCATATTGACTGGCTAATTCCACTGTTTTATTCTTTAACATATTCTTCAGCTGAATGGTGTTGCCATTGCTACCAAGACTATTTCATGAAGAAATTGTTTAAATATGCAAATTGAATGTGGTTGATGTTCTTATTGTTCTTCATTTTGAAATTTTGAGAATTCATGGTTTTGGGATGCACATTCACTTCATTATTTTATGTGTGGCTACAATTAAGGAGGTACAGTGACTTGGCAAAAGTCTTGCATCATGTGAGGCCAAGTCATAAATGCATCTGTTAAACACGCTAGAGATTGGGGGGTTCTTACTTTACAGGTAATATCTATGGTATGTAGCAAAAATGCAGGTAAAGTGATTTGTAGTGGAGACAAGAAATAGAGGAGAATGACATGTAACATCATGAATTGCTGGTGCAGGACTTTTACAGCTATTTCCAAACACATCAACCACCACCCATCCCTCATCTTTTGAGGACACTACAATGAATCTTTGCACCCTTTTTTGACAGTCACCCTCCTGACTCATGACTGAGACTATGCCTACAAAGAAATCATGCATTGTTCAACTCAAAGACCTTGGGCACACCAATCATGATGCGGCAGAGAAGGAGAATGTCAACCCATCTACTGTCTCCTGCATTTATGGCCATTATGGGAAAATGTGAAAATTTTATGAGAAGAAGCATTGGTCAGGTCGCCCACACAAGTTGGATGACTATGACATGCATATTGCCCTACAAAAGCTCTCCAGTGGATCAGCATGCAATGTGACAGACCTCCAACAGAAGGAATTTCTGAATGTCAGCATCAATACACTGTGATGGGAGCTCAAAAGATGTGGCTTTAATGCATGAGTACGTTGCAAGAAGCCTCTGCTGACACATGTCGTGAGCACCCTTTCTCCTTCAAATTAGGGGTGATGAATGGTTTAGATATAGTCTAAATATGTGTCAAATTATTTGTATCCAGAGCCCATATTAAATGAGCAATCCATGTAGCATTGAAAAAAGGTGGTGCATGACTTTTGCTGGATGTCATGTGAAGACATCCTTTGTGGTCAGAAATGCCAGTTGAGCATTCAATAGATATGGTAAACAGACATACAATTAATAGCAAGTCTCTCCTCCACCTGCCTTGCAAATTGCATCCACCCGATCTGGAATGCTGTCATACAAACATGTAATATAGTCAATGTCAATCCTTGTCCATTTCTCCTGTAATGCCTGCCATAATTCATTGTGGTTGCATGGTAGTGCACAAGTATTAGTGACCTTACCCCAACAACACTGAGCCCCCTGACCATACAAACAGGCCATGGTTGATGGTGCCTGCTGATGAGCCGATGTATATGTTGACCCCATCAAAGCTGGCTCGGCCACCCATATCTTCTTGAGGACTGGTTCTGTGTGCCGGCCGACCAGCCTAATGATGAATTGACCCTGCTGAAATTGCCTTGGATTGTGGGTCAGCTGAACAGCTTTTGATTCCTCACAATATGGATCAGCCCACTTGCCGCACCCTGGCTTGGCAAAGTCAGTTTACATACCCGAGGTCATGAATCTCATTGTGAGCCCCAAGCAGAGATGAGGCCGGCCCCCATCTGTTGCCATCTCCAGCCTGGATATGGCCTGGCCCAGTCGGCACCACACTCCCTACCATTCTTTGGCTTGTCTCCAATTAAACAATTTATGTTGCCATCTGTCCCGTGATGATAGCCAGCCTGGCTAACACATGGCCTAACTAAGTTTACTTGTTCATATGTTGTACCAACCCCCCAGTGTTCTTTGCCATGTCCTGCATTCAAATCACCCTCTGGTTTTATGTTTGCATCAGGCCAGTGAGTACATTAGCTGGTCCTGTATTCTGGTGCAAAGTTACTGA